GAAAAAATGTAAGCTACTTCACATAGGCACAAAACAATCCAGGAAGGGACTATTATTTGAATGGAAGGAAATAATATGTTTGTTTACTTACCAACATAACAATCCTTTTGTCTTCCAAACCCAATATCAAGAGGTTTGCTAAAGAGCAGAATACAGTCATCTGGACTCCAAGCTCTCATGGCTGTCTGTAGGAGAGTGTGGGTCACACCCCCAAACAAAAGGTTTACTTCAAGAAGAGAGCTCTACCTCTGCACATCCATCTTCACCAGACTTTCCTCTCACTACTGGCACTCAATTACCCATAAGAGCTGGTGCCCAATTATCACAAACTCTAATCAAGTGTGATTGGAGTCCAGTCCTTGTTAGCTCCCTTTAACACAGCTTTTTGATCACCAATAACTATAAAAGGCAGTGACATGGTTATCCTCCTATCACACTGTCATTTGTTGGACTATATTCATACAGATAATCGTCCAGTGTGCTTTAATGTATTTTCCACTGATCAAGTTGAGACCAATGTGTCTATAGTTGACAGATGTACCTTTTTCAACTCTCTTGGAATAAAACATCCACATTTACTTGTTCCAGTTTATTGGTTGAAATTCCGATAGACAAGTATTCAAATAATTAATGTCATTTAGTTTTTGTTTTCCTGCCATATCAGTTGCATTCACATCGTCCGTAGAACCATCCAGCAAGTGAGAATTGGTGCAGCCAATCACAGCCGGCACGCTCAACCCCATTCACATCCACAACTTGCATTTATATAATATCCTTCAAGTGAGATGGTATCTTGGAATGTTTTGGAGACACTTTTGCACAGTAATCGCCCAATCAACAACAACAACTTGGATTTATATAGCGCCTTCCACCCCGGATGGCGTCTTAAAGCGCTTCAAGGTAACGGATCCCAGGACCGAGCCAGGGGGAGGGGGAGTAAAGTGACCAAAGGCGCGGTCAAAACGAAAGGTCTTCAGCAGAGACCTGAAAATAGGAAGGGAGGGAACAAGGTGAAGGGAGTGAGGAGGGCAGTTCCAGAGCCTCGGGGCATAGTGGCTGAAGGCACAGTCGCCGAAGATGGAGCGGAGGACTCATGGGACGAGGAGGAGGCCAGACCCGGAGGAATAAAGGCAATGGGTACTGTTTTGAGGAGAGGAGGTCAGAGAGGTAGGGGGGTGCAGAGGAGTGCAGTGACATGAATAAAAGGGTGAGGATCTTGAAGTCGATCGGGCGATGTGTCGGAGGTGGAAGAAAGCGGTGTTGGTGAGGGACCGGATGTGGGGGAGGAAGGATAATTGGGGGTCGAACCTGATGCCTAGGTTGCATACGGGTTCGGAGAGTTTTAGGGGGAGGTCGGGTAGGTGGAGGAGGTGAGAGCTGTGAGATTTTAGACGTTGATGAGAGCCAAAGAGTATGGCTTCCGTCTTGTCAATGTTCAGCTGAAGGAAGTTTGTGCTCATCCAGCCCCTGAGATCTGACAGGCAGGCTGACAGGCCATCAGGGGACCGGGGGTCGCAAAGAGAGGTGGAAAAATAGAGTTGGGTGTCATCTGCATACATGTGGAAGTGTACCCCAATGTCTGTGGATGACATCCCCAAGAGAGAGCATGTAGATCAGAAAGAGGAGGGGGCCAAGGATGGATCCTTGGGGTACTCCGCAGGTGATCGGGTGAGAGCGGGAGGAGAAGCCGTTTGTGTAGATGTACTGCTGGCGGTTTGGAGGTAGGACTTGAACCAGGCGAGTGCGATCCCACTGAGGTAGATGACGGAGGAAAGGCAGTGGAGGAGGATGGCGTGATCGACTGGGTCGAACGCGGCAGATAGGTCCAGGAGGACAAGGAGGCAGAGGGAGCCCTGGTCACAGATAGAGAGGACGTCGTTTGTGACTTTCACAAGCGCAGTCTCTGTTCTGTGGGCAGGGCGAAAACCAGACTGGAGGGATTCAAAGAGGGAGTGGGAGGAGAGGTGTGCACAAAGTTGGTTGGCAGGAATCGAGGAAAGAGGGGAGATGACCGTAGATAAGGTCAAAGAGAAAGGTCTTTAAGTTAGTTAGAGAAGTCAACAATGTCAACAATTTCAATGAACAGTTTTGATGAGATGAGCTGACATGAACTGTAAAGCAGCTAAGGTAATCTCGACCCAAAGCCAATTTTCTTAAAAATGGCTTCTACAAACAATTATCAGCTATTAATCAGTGTTGATCTTAACACAGAATAAATTAATGGAATTTACAGAATAGACTAACAATTGTCTTTACCTCATCCATTAATGAGAGCCAATTAAGGTGTTTACCGTGGAATTTTTAATGCAGGAAAAAAGGATGCAATTTCCTTTGGCAGTGCGGCCTGCCCAGATTGTTTGTAGTTAAGAAGGCAACAGTATGTTAGAAAAGGCCCTGGTCACTTGTGCATACTCCAATAGTAAATGTTTGGCAGCTTTCCTGTTTAATGCTTTACTCGATACAATCTTATTTACATTAAGCATTGGGATTAATAATAATAATAGACAACAATAATCCTTGCATTTGATATAGCACCTGATCACAAGTCTCAAAGTGTTTCACATTAAAGTTATGTGATTGTGTGCATTTTGTATGCAAACAGAGCAGCCTGTGCACAGCGATGTCCTACTAACAGCCATGGAGTGTGTGTCCAATTTTATTTGGGGGTATGTTGGCTAGCACACCAAGAGAAACTTCCTTCTTTGTTCGAATAGTGCCAGGGGATCTTTAACATCCACCTGAATAGGCAGACGGACCTCAGTTTAATGTCTCAGCACTACACTGAATGTCAGACTTTATGCCTTCCACGACCCAACGTTGGGATTCAACTTACAACCTTAAGACCCAGAGGTGCGAGTGGTACAAACTGAGCCAGCCTGACCCACAATGTCAATGTAAGACATCCATTGTAATATCTGATTGCTGTGACAATTTGTAACACATTTGCAAATCAGCAATATCATCCTTGAATATAATCAAGGATCTCAAATCATTCTTTATTCTTGTTCCATATGGTGCTGCATAAATACAATATGTGAGTCATATATACCTGTGCCATGGTCCATATTTTCCCATAACCTACAGTTGGTAGCACTCTCACCTCCGAGTCAGAAGCTTGTGAGATCTTGAACTCACATAGTCTAGTTAGGGAAAGCAACAATGTCAACAATTTCAAAGAGCTGTTTTGGATGAGATGAGTTGACTTTGACTGTAAGTAGGTAAGCTGATCTCAACCGATAGCCCCGAAAGCCCTGTTGAAATATATTGACTGTCACCTCGGGATACATTGGTATATTTCAAACTGCAACCGAATGTTCCAGAAGGTTTGATAGTTAAATGGTTAAAAGTAGCTTTGCTGGACCAGTTGAGGTCAGCTTCTGATTAAACGGCTGCAGTCTCAATACCTACCTATCTCAAAGCTCAGAAACAAGGCTGTGGAAGGCTGCCCAGAAGTTGTCCATATCTCTTTCTCCTTGTGGAACACTTCAAGAAAGCTTAAAATGTTTTGTTGTTTCTTTCAAAAGGAACTAAATAATTTTCTAAAGGTTATTTTCATTTCTTGAATGCACAGTGTGTTGTGGTACTGAGCCCTACAGCCTAGGAACATTTCAGGTTCAGTCTCTTGTTGTGCTTAGTTTCCTACACAACTCTGGAAGACTGCAGGCATGAGAAGAACTCTGCACTAACATAGGCCATTGGCTCCTGGGGAGGAGGTAACGGGGAGGAAAATATTTATTAATATTGTTAAATTTGAAGGCAACAAGCTAAAGGAGAGACTTGCATAAGTCTTATCTTTATAAATCATACAATCGCCTAAGTCGTATATTCACCTGAGTCCTATGCAGTTTACTATCAAAACCACTCAGAATTCTTTGCATTACTCATATTAATCACCTCCTAACTTGTAACGTCGTTTCCATATCCTCCATTACTCCCGCACTTACTGGCTGCATTGAATCTTGGGAAACCACGTCCTAATCCTTTGACAGAAGCGCACTTACCAGACGGCTGCATTGAATCACGGGAAACGTAATCTTGATCCGTCGATGCATGCGCAGAAGAACTTAATTTTCTGTCATTCAATGCGATTCCAACACTTGTCAGTAAGTGTGCATGCGGCAACAAATCAAAATGCATCGAATCACGGGGAATGTAATCTTGGTCTGTCACCATGTGCGCATTACCTGCTGCATTGAATTACGTATACACAGTGTAGTTTGCCTGCAACTCAGACTTCGCGTAAATTATACTAAATGTAATGATCCCAACTGTGAATTTTACTGTATAGACTTTGGAGCAAGAATTCCACGAATCAGCCATGATATGCTTACTGTCTGTTACTAACAGAATTTCGTTAGCAATTGTGAACCACTATTAGTGAATCCCATTATGAGTTGTCACTTTTTAGATTATATCAGAATATACAGATTGAGACAAATCTTTCCTAAAAGATTGAAGTAAAATGACGTAAGGAAAGTCTGTTCCCGAGCAAAAGCAGGTTTTGTCAGGTGCGTTTTATTTTCTGATTCGTAAATTATAGTGCACTAACAGCTGGTGGCAAACCTGTAAAGCAAGTGTTCCACAAGTTTTCCAAATATAATCTAAACACAGTTAAAGAGTACTCTTGCTAATCATTAGCTTTTTGATTAAGGCTAAAAGGCTTACCATGTGCCTCAGGATATTCTCTTGACATGAAAGGCGCTATATAAATGAAATTTGTTGTTTTGAAATAAAACACCTTGTTTTTTCACATGACTTGTGATACAATATTAATTAAATGCCTGTATATTTACCTTATTTTATTTCTGAAATAGAAATAAATTAGTTGAATCTAAGTTGTAACAGTAGAGAAGCATTGACCAATGTATCAGAAATACTGCTATAACTACAAGTTGTATATGTCAATAAGATCTTTATTTGATTATGAAAGCCCAAATATTAAGTAGCTGCAAGAAAAATATTAAAAGAAAGAAACATTCTACATTATTTTTCTTACTTACTTTGCCCTCGTCCCTTGGACTGTCACTTAAATGAACAACAGAACCTGGGTGAGTTTTTGTAGATCTGCAAAGAGAAAAAAGTTTTATTTAAAGAAAATGAAAAATAAACATGTAAACCTTACAATAAAAATACTTAACATATCAGTAACAGAATTTGACTGTTCTTTTGGTATGCAAGAGGTGGTCTCCCCACACAACAACTCTCTTTAATGCTCACTCCCTTAAAGATACTCAAGAAAAAACTAAATCTCCTTCATGAACATCATACTGCAAGCACACAGCACCTTCTACATATAGCAGGAAGTCAGAAGACTATTTTGAAGCAATAATAAACTGCTGTGTTAATTTTTCATCAAGTTTGGAACAGTGCAGCAAATCAATGGCAATACATGCCATCCCCACACACTGCAGTAAAATTAAATATTCAACTTTACTAGCAAACTGATGTAAATATTTATCTGAATTCAGTCAGATCTTGGAACCTGACTGCTAAACTCTAGGGTGGAAACTGTGCTAACAATTTGGTAGATAATTAAGATACCTAATGTTCCGTCAATATATTGGAAACTTTAATGTTTCTCACATTGTGTCAACATATGCATTGTGAAGCATGCTCTTATGTGTCCCTTCTTTGTTCTTTTCACAACATTGCACATTTACTATGATGAGAACATCACCCCAGGAGTCGAATAGCCTGCCAACACCAAATGTCAAGGTTCATGTGTGAATAATGGACACTGGAGGGTATCCAGGCAACCAAAAGGAGGTAAAACGCCTTCAGGAGAGAAGCGGAGGAAAATAATAAAAGAGACAATTTAGCAAAAGTAAAATAATGTTGGTTAAGATGTCATCCTTTCTCAGAACATCAGAAATAATGATGGGTCACACCTGGAAGGCAATTCTATCTGTCTCTTTTAAATGCTATTACACATTTCAAAAAGAGAATTCTCTCATTTGTCCTGGCCAACAATCCTGTAAATATGAGTGTCCTTATTGATGTTAAGTGAGCCCTTGGAAAATCTGTAACAAAACAATGCAACATACCTGTAAATGACACTCTATATTTATACTAAAGTTAATCTTGATGTCAAAATCAGCTCATCATGTCCACCCTGGGTGGTGGTTTGGGAGATTTCTTTTTGAAAAAAATATAATTCCAAATAAATATCTACTAATCAAACAACATTTTTAAAATTTTTATAAATGTCGTGAAAATTACTGGTCTAGTGTTAGAAGCATGTTCCTCTGGCTTTATTAAAATAATTCCTGCATGGAGTACTTCTTGGTGGCAGGTTGACTGCAACAAACATTGACAAGTGTAATCTATTCCCACATTTCAAAGCATGCCTGTGTGCAGTTGATAACCAGAAACATTGGCAAGTGCAAAGTAGTGCCCAGCTGAGACGGTGCTCTGTTCTAGCTGAAGGCGGACAGCATAGAGGCAAAAGTAAGGAAAATTGCAAAGAGTGAAATTCAAATCAGCTATCATAAAGGAGGCTGTCTCCCACACAGTGGGAAAAAGCTAATTTCAAAATGCTAAGTTGTCACGAATATGTCATAGCGTCTCTCTCTATTAACAAAATCCCATTATCTGCACAGCTCATTGACAGTAGAACACATATGAAACAAATGTATTTTAAAACCAGATAATGCTCCTCTGTTGCCCTGGTGGGTTAAGCCAGCATGAGGCCATACTGATCAGAAAGGCTGCAAGTTTTAAACTCAGTATGTGTTCAGTCAGCTGATCTCACCTGTGTTAGCAACTGGGCTGCTAAAATGGGCCACAGAGCTCCTAGTCAGTATAAAATCAGGGCACTGATCACTGACTAGTCTGAGCGTCTGGCTGCAGTAATCCCCTTAGGTTTGAATAACCTACCAACAGTCAAGGCTCATGTATGAGTTATAGCCACTTGGGCAAGGTAATGGACAGTGGCCAGACAACTAGTAGGAAGAAAAAGGTGTAAATAGTACAAGAGAATTGATGAAAAGAATGTGTAACATTCCCCTTTGACAAACACCAGAAAGAATGATGGGTATACATGTTACATAGCCATCAAAATGGTGTTTGTGCCACGTTCAGCGTGACTGATAAACTAACCAATGTGATTGAAATCTCAGGAAAATGGAGCAAAAGGATTGACTACAGTCAAGAATCTTGAGTGCCTCCTCTAAAAGTAATTGAATTCTATCGTTCTCCATATTCAATACGGATTTCTGTTTTTTTTCTTTGTCTCCTCCTGCTTTCTCTCTCTCTTTCTCTCGCTTCTGACACGGACTTCTCACTCCAGTTCTTTGATGAAAATGAGTTCCCTGCTGACCCGCAGCACGATTCTAAAGTGGCGGATTATAAAGGGGATGATGGTAATGTGGGGGAGTATGAGGCTGAGTTGTCTTATAATGAGGACAAGGATGGTGATGGTGGGGAAGAAGACGTGTAAGGTCTGCTTAAGCCTTGTTTCCTTGATACTAAAGTTGTGTCTCAATCTGAGAACATGTTATCGACCGATTGTAATCCCCTCCCCCACCGCAAGCCACGAGGTCCAGTGGATTTTCAGTCAGGTTGAGTCTCCCTATTTAACTTTAGTATTTATCTACATGGTATTCGAGTCATCAGATATTAGCTTGCATAAAACCACTTTTCCGGGAGTAACAATCCCTTCAAAAATAATAATAATGAGAAAAATAATTTGGTCACTCAATTCACCACTGTTTGTGGGACACTGTTTTGCGCAATTGGCTGCCGCGTTTCACCCACAAAATATACAGTCAATTCGCTTTACAGTATATTCTGTGAAGACTTTGAGACGTCTTGAAGACTTGATAAGGAGCTGTAACAAATCAAGCATTATTATGAAAACAAAAATAGAAATCGCTGGGAAAACTCAGCAGGTCAGACAGCATCTATGGAGGAAGAAAAGTGAGTCAATGTTTTGGGTTGACGACCCTTCGTCAGAAGCATTATCTTGAGTTCTGACGAAGGGTTGTGGACCTGAAAGGTTGACTTACTTTCCTTTCTCCATAGATGCTGCCTCTATAGTGTTCCCAGCGACTTCTGTTTTTGTTTTCAGATTTCCAGCACCTGCAGGATTTTGTGTTTTGCAAGGATTATTATTATGCACTCAAAAAATACTATTACACTTTCAGATGCCATTACACTGTCTTGAAAAGAGAAAAGCATTTCTTACAAAATTCTGGAAAACACTCCTGCAGGTTAATTAGCTATACAAAAGACCCTGTTGGTGTACATGGCTGCTGTATTTCCCTCCATATAGGGTCACTACACTTGATTGTAATGACATATGAAATGTAGATGTTTTTACGTGATAAGATGTGATCAAAATGAAACTGTTTCTCACAGGTTTTGTTTGTACAAGAAACAGATATACCAGACCAAGACACAGGGTATATAAACATACATTATTGAAATTGCATCACAGATGGTATAAGGATCTTCAGTCTATTATCCCTAGACCCTTAGTGACTATCACAGTAAAAAATTAAAGTGGTACCCCTATATTATGCCACAGGTACATTTAACCAGTTCTTAGAACATTAATGTACAAAATAAACCCCTGCTGGGTTGGTCAAGCAAATGAATACTATATCTGTTTTCAAGCCTCCTAGATACCTCAGGAATTCCTGTGTGCAGAGCCAAATACCACTTAAAAATTGCAGTCCTTAGGGACAGTTTTACTGTCTGCTGGATCGAGACAATTATCTTTCTGTGGATCTGAGTAGACCAACTTGGGAACAATGGCTGCATGCAGGCTGAAAGTGTCATTTTTCGTAAATTAATGCTGAATAAAAATTATCTAATGCTTGTTAAAATACAACCACAGGAGTTCTATAGTTTTATGGTGAGTTTGGTTTTGACAAAAAGCATTGACATCCACTCTGAAATGTACGAGACATTTTTAGAAAAACTCAAAGCTGCAAGTTTTGCTGTTTTATAATAATAATCCGTACATTTGGTATAATGCCTTATCACGTCATTGACACATTTCAAAGTGTTTCACAGAGTATATTGCAAAGTGGATTGACTGTGTAATTTGTGGACGTTTTCCATGCACCAGACAGTACGAATAAACCAGGCAAAAAAATCTAAGGGACTTCAGAAGCTTCTCACTTTTTTAATAATTGTACTTGTACTTTTAGCATTATCCCAATGGGCCATGCAACTGAAAAGGTTAGGATCCCTTAAATGTACAAGTGCTAAATATGGTATTAAGGATTGCAATATAAAGGTCATTGCCAGCTACCAAAGACCTTGGAATGATGGATATAATTTAGCACTATTCTTTATTGGACAAACTTCAAGGAACCTGGCTATGAATTTTGATGGTAGATAGGAAGGTCACCTAGACTTTTGGAGATAACAAAAAATCTGTTCCAGAGATGAGATGGGATAAAAATGCAGTCCAGCATTCTTAAGGAAATAAACAGAAATGAGTATATAACCAACATGTTTAACACCTCCATAATCCATAAGATGCACTGGAGAACTGACCTTTTATTGTCATAAAACCGATAATCAAGAAAAGAATTACAGCATGAATCTGGAATTCACAGAACAGTTTATCCACCTTCCATTTTGGGCAGAATGTATTTTACAGGGCACTGATAAAGTTCACTGAAAAAGCATAGATTCCATAAGAGGCAGTCAGTGGGATTTTAGGAGGAATTGGCCCTATCTCAGAAATATTCTCAAATTCTATGAGAAAGTAATAACCACATTAATGGGCAAGAACTATTTACTCGTTATAGTTAATCGGAAAATATTTGATGGTCTTTGAATTGATGTTTTGAAGGTGATTAAAGAGCACCTAATGAATGGCATGCTACCCTGGAAATCTGCTTGGCTATAGAAAGCAGGTAACAATTTGGTAGGTTTTGCAGAAACTTTGAGGTTCCCTATTTACATTATTTATACATTGTATTGAGAGTACTTCTAGTCAAGATAACAAGATATCTGATTAAAATGGGAAAATATCTAGATCGACAACTGCTCAAAAGCACATTGTGTGCAATATAGATGTAAGTAAATAGGACTGTCGGCAAATTCCC